AAGACAAAAGGAAGCCTAAAAATGTTAAAATTATTTCAATACTGAATAATTTTAAATCATAATGTTTTGGATACTGAAAAAAGCTTTTAAAATAACAAGAATTAATAACAACCTGTAACTTTAGATACAAGAAAATTGATCCCAAGAGTGCCGATAGCTTTGAAAGAGTTATAAAAAATAAAGTGTAGTTATTAGAAGCATGTTTATTTTGAAATATGTTATTAATAATTAATGTATCATATTATAATCCTACGTATTTTAAAAAAAATACTTTAACCACCTGGAAATCGAATCTAAAATGACTAACTAAATCTGAAATGGCAGTGCTAAGTATATCACTTATGAGAGTGACTTTTATAACCAAATATAAAATACAAAATGAAACATTTTAATTTACTTAGGCTGCAATAATCACTGAAAAGGATATCCTTGTATGTGTAAAAATATTAAAGTGCCGCTTTAGAGTGCACAATGCAATTAACTTCCTTTAAGAGAACCTTAATAGTGTCTTCTATTTTTTTTAAAAAAGATAGAAACATCTATGTTAATATTAGAATTATTCATAATTAATGAAAACCTAAAACGTAATATGGAGTAAAACAAAAGAAAAAATAGAGTTTCCTTAATAAAATTAATTTATTCTTTCTTATTATTTTAATCATAATATGTAAGTATTTTTTTGAGACTGTTTTACAAGGGAGAGTGTGTCTATATACAAGGGAGTCGAGAGCGGAGCGGCGCAACCAATTGCCGTCATACCATACAAGTCGGTTTTGCTATAGATATTTCACTCCAAAAATCTCTTTACCGGAACTAATACAGCATTAAAATGATTTTTATTAATGCTATAAGCATTAATCAAAATTTCAAATTATTCATCATCAATATCCATTTCAAAAATAAAGTATGCAGAATTCTATTTACGTAAAAGTATCGGAAGATGACTATAACTAATATCTTTATAGGCATGTCTATGTGATATCGTAATACAACATAGTAATAGGTATAGATATTTTTTTATAATAACACTTTTAATAAATTCTAAGAAAATTATTTTTACAAGCTTTTAATTAACATGCAATATTTGTTTGTATAGGTCAAATCTTGAAAGCTGAATTAGAAATTGAACATGTCGGTTCTGTTCCGATAACAATGATTTTTATGATAATTATGACTTGCTTCTTCATCAAAGAATCCGACTGAAGCATCTTCTCGACGGTCAACATTTTAGGCACGAAATTTTATATACTCGTATTCAATTGTTATAGCCCATTCTAAAATCTACCATGAGTTGGCAGCTGCGACCAGGGTGGGCTCAAAATAGACTAAAAAACATATAATAAATTAATAGTAAAAACATTTTTCAAAACATGCTTTTAAAACTACTTTTTCAAAATGTTTTTTATTATTAATTTATTTAAATTTTGTTTTCTTCATCATATAATAAAACTGTCTTATAATAATAATAAATAATAAATTGAATAACGAGTGCTACGTCCAATTTTTTCTCGAAGATTAGGTACTACGAAATTTCTACGAGCTCTACGACAACGTCTACAAGTAATTACAATAAGTATAGTCTTTTTATTTGACATTGTAATACATTGCATATTGAACGAAATACCGCGCTTGTCTTAATCCATATCCATACTAATATTATAAATGTGAAATTTTGTGAGGATGGATGAATGGATGGATGGATGTTTGTTACACTTTCACGCCAGAGCGGTTGAACGGAAAGGCACAAAGATAGATATAGTCTGGACTAGCATATGGGTTACTTTTTATCCTAGAAAAATGTACGGTTCCCGTGGGATAAATTTGTTTTTTAAGTAATTAATTTAGTAATTATATGGCCAATATAAACATTCAATACATTTCAGTATAGTAGTTAGGTCTTAATAAAAATACCTAAAATATCATTTTAATTGATGAACTAAATATATAGTTTGATTTCTTTTATCTCGTTTACTCTAGTTTACGGTTACTAATTAAATAGATATACACGCTTCATGGCACATGTCTCCTCTCAATGCGAGGGAGATTTGGCCATAGACCACCGTCTTGGCGAAATATGGGATGGCGGACTTCACATCATCAACCAAATTCATGTAAACACGCAGAAAATGTGTTACTTGCTATTGGTGTGAAGTTTATGTCATTATTTATATTTAATTTTTTATTTTTCTTTCCACAAATCTTTACCATAAGTACTTGGCTTCATCATGAAAAACGAATTCTGTAGCACTAGAAAAATATTTGAAAGTCCTTTTAAAATGACGCACAGCCATTTATCGTTTTAAGAGTGCGCACCTGTTGGTAGCGTATCACGCCACATTACAGGATTTAGAAGGCATCTTTTTTATAAAAACAATATTGACACTAAATTAACCATTTAGTTAGGAATTGGTAACCGGTTTGGTTGGTAGTAGGTACGCATGAGTATGTGGTATGTGGTTTAAATAGGTATTTATTAGATTTTTTTAATGTTAATTATTGGTCTAATGAAATTAGTTATTCAGTTAATTTAAACTTAATAATTGTATTTATTTCTAAGAAGGCACGCAACATTAATCTAGCAATTAATGATAAGTACCAACAATAAACTATTCTAAGCTTTATAACCCCTGAAAGCATTTGAACCAAACTATTCTTCGTAGCTATAGTACGTTTTTAGTCAGCGTATTAAAAATATATAGAAAGCGTGTTTTGTTATACCGTAAATGATCACCGTTTCTGTTATTGGGTCACACGCCATTGTTATCCGAATAGTTTGTTAGGATAAGCGTTGTTCCAAAGGATTTAGTTGAAAATTCACCCCGCAAATAGTAATTTGACGGGACATTGAAAAAGTTTTATGTATGAGAATATACATCAAAGTCACTAAATCAATTGAAGCGATATCTAACAATCATTAAATAAGAGCTTTATATCATACAAGTTCCAAACTTATATTTTAAAGTTTCCTAGAAATAATTTATTGTTAGAAAAGTTACGTACTCTCTATGTAGAACAGGACGTTGGTGTTCGGTTACGGTAAACTCCTTTTTATCTTAATATGATAGACGCAAGCCATAAATAAAGTTTATAAGATAGTTTCAACGTTCTATGGTTTCCTTCTTTATGCATGTTTTAACGACTCTAAATATTGTAGGTTTAGCTTTACGTTCCAATAGGTTGAGAACTTGACTTAATTATAATATTTAACTAAAATTTAACACGGTTATAGAAAATTATAATTTTAACTAGAGTAACTTAGAAAATATCAGATAAATAACGGGATAATGAAATCTACGATATATAATTTTAGTATTTGTCGTAATTATTTTAATTAAGAAAAATAAATTTTAAACTCTCAAATGCTACTTATGCCCCATTTGCATTTATACTTCTTTCACACAGCAACGAAATAAAAAGCTCAAGGATGGTATAGACTACATGTCTTAGAACAGTGAATGTTTGCCATGAGATATACTCGTAAGTAAATTTTAGAAAACTTATGTGATACGTTATTAAGAGCCTGTTTAAAGGAAATGTGCGTAATTAGTCAGTTCTTAATTTTTGTCGTTGATGACGACACAAAGCTTTACAGATATAAGCTTGTTTATTGAGACGAAAAAAAATTGTGAACGAGATGAACATTAGAATGTAATCTATTAATATAGTAGCTCCTAGTTAGACATAAATGCACGCGACACGTTTTAAAGGTAATTTAAAAAGTAGTTCAATCTAAAAATTAAGCACTACGAATAGATTAAAAAGGTAACCTTTAAAGTCAAATTTGGGATATAGATGCCATGTGAAAGACTGTGTTATAGTTGGTTTCTAGATGTTATATTTCAGTTATTATAATGATCATGATACGATTCAAATAAATATAAATAATAATAAGATAAATTATAAGTTAGTATAATATGTGCAGAGTACAGTAAGAACCTGAGAGAATCGATGGGTTGCTGGTAAAATACTAAAAATGTTAGACTTTTTTGGACACTTGTACTTGCCAGTTATCTGGTTTATATGTTAAAGGAAGTTACGTTAAAGTTTCTACCTCGATGTTGTGTAATCCAATTCTAATAATATTTTTCTTGGAGAAGGATTTTAGACCTTAAAGCTTTTATAAAGTGCAAGTAATACCAGCTTTATTAAACATCTAGTCTAGTTAAATAATTAACAATAGATATTTTACAACCTATTTATTATGCGTTTATATATGAGTGTACTTCAAACTTTTAATACCATTTACTTAATATTGTATCATAAAGTATAAAGAGTCCGCAATCTTTGTTGTTTAAAAAGCTCTATGTACTATATTTTTTTAACTAATTTGTTATTTAAAATGTGTTATCGGAGAATTGGTACTGTATTCAACTTTCAATTTAATGTATATATTTTAACTAACTTCAAAAAGAAGGAAGTATTTTCAAAAAGTAAAGTATGAATAAAACTTAAAACTTACGTTATTTCTCTATTTTTATGTGTAGTGACAGATATGAAAAAAAAATTAGCCTCAATACATTAAACTTTATATCAACTTTAAAGTTTAATAACTTTAAGTTTAGATATTCAAAAATAAAATTAAACAAATATAATTTTCGTAAATGTAAAAGAACAAAATAAGAAATTATTTCTTCTTATTTAAGCACTAAACTTTAAGTGATTGGCAACGAAAAGTCGTTATGTTTATTTAATTCCTTAAAGTTAAACCTAAACCGTCTCATTAATGAATTAAAAGGATAACATTTGAATTTCGAATGTCAATATTATGTTTAATTTAGTAGTTTTTTAGTCATTGTTATATAGGATTATTAGTACGCTTGAGATTATATTTGGTACCTGGTAATTACAGAATTTACGTATAACATACATAACTCTTGTAATACTATTTTTAAAGTTGTGAAAAAAAAGAAATATAAAATATTGTAAAAATTATAAATAAAATGAAAAAGTTAAACAAAATAAGTATTAAAAAAGATGACATTTATATGTAATTTACTTACTTGGATGTAACTGGAAAATGTAGCAGACAGACAGGATGACTTTATATAAGTTCAGGATAACTGGAGGCTTCCGTGTCGATGGTTCAAAAGCAAATGGGAGCTTGATCACGGTATGCGCGATTATATACCACGCGCTAGCGTCCTCGCGTAGGTGAGGGCTTTACAACCCTACCTCTACATAGCCGGTTAATTAATCTGTTTCATTCGAGTTTATGCAAGAGAAAATTCTGTTTTAGTGTTCATTAAAACAAAGCTGCATTTATTGTGGCCTTCTCATTTTTATTCTATACTCAAGGGGTACTAGATTGTGTATACTCTTGAATTGATTCGATAATAGGTAATCAAATTATAGAAATAAAAGAGTTGTTGCTAAATAAATAAAATAAAATCTTATATTATATAAAGCCATGCATAATATTATTATAATACCTATGCATTGACTGTTTTTGTTTTTGGTATTTTGTAAATGGTAAAAGATCATTTTGAGCATTTGTAATTAAGTGATAATATAAACCTCACTCTATTACAAAGGCTTATAAACCATACCGTAAAATAGGGTTACTTGGACACGTTTTATATACATTTTTTAAGATCAAAAATGAAAAAATTAAGTTAGGGCAACAAACACATGTTAATCATACTGACCTAACTTTAAAACTTACATAGTTAATATAAAACATTGAAAATATCTTATACGCACGAAAAAAAAAGAAAAATAAGGTGGTGTCTAAATAACACCGTTGCTGGGGCTACTTGAACACTAAGTTTCGATTGAAGAAAAATTTCTTACTTTACATGTTAGATATCTAGTTCACCCGTACATATCTCAAATCAGACATTCGGCTCATCATACTTGTATAAGTTTACAGCTTCACTGAGGAAATGGCAATTTAAGCGTTAAAAAAGGTCATAATGTCATCGCGGTTGACGGACGACCTGGACTGCTTGATGATTGATGCTATCCTGATGTTTTGGCGATAAAAAAATCGATGAAATCTAGACCTGGGGGGCTGTTCTTGAACCCGATCCCGCTTGCCTTGTTTATGCAGGTATTTTATCACCACATTTAGAATTTCTGCCTTTGTCAAGGAGAATCGCATCAACAGCTAGAGTTTCAGAAATCAACTGCTCCTTAGACTGACTTTAAAACGGTTGGATGTCCAATGAGTCTGGTATTCCTTCCAAGCATCTTTTGTACTAATATTGCCTGAGGCACTTTGAAAGTTTCAGCGGCCGTTTTCTTTGACATCCCCCCCTTTTTGCATTCGTAGCTTTTTCCAAGTCCTCCGCTTTGTAATTCTTGTAGGGTTTTGAGCCTGGAGTCTTTTGATACGTGCGCACCATTTTTAATGACTGATTATCTACCTCTAACAACAAGCAACAGAACTCAAATAAACAAAACATAACCTAACCTTACTTTCATGACACAGGAATAAACACGTTTGCGATATGTTCAAGTAGCCCCGGGGTGTCCAAGTACCCCCACTTTACCGTATATAATCATATCGTTAGTAACAAAGAACCAAACTAATAACTTTAAACCTAATTGTTGTATAGCTTTACGACATAGTGTTCTATTACACGACATGATTTTATAATAACTTATATCGTGCTACGAGTATATACGCAGTAGGCGGATATGAAACAATATGTTATCCTGAACCTTCATAACTTTTAATTTTTTTACTATTAGTTTAGACAAAATTGTATTTGCATGAGATCAAAAGGCACGTGTATAAAGAAGCTTTGACGTAGAGTCACGTTTATTATGTTTTAAGCTTAAAGCCGGTAGGATAGGGATTAAATAATTTACAGGAAAATCGCTTTTGTTTGGAAATGTACGAATATATACATATATGTTTACCTAAGCAGAGAATTTTATTGTAATGTATAAACGGAGAAACAAAAATAATGTAATTTTCAAATTTAAAATAACATCTACACTCTACACTCCACAGTTTTATTATTATTTTATATTATTTTATTTTATTATTTAATGTAAAGCAAACGCGCTACAATTTTAGCCTGTAGTTTACATAAGAAGCCAGGGGGGACCACTAGTGTTTTATACTAGCAAATAAATAGTATGAAAAAACAAGTGAAGTCTTTAGCATCCTAGATTAAAAAGTCAATCAACGTTGGCTATTATTAGACGGCTTAATTTGATTCGCTTTGACAAAAAAATGTATAAACAGCAATAGCATAATAGCATAAATATGAAATTTTAATGAATTAAAAATATTTTAGTAGTGATTTTTATTACACACACAATATTGAATGATTTAAAAAATTGAAGACCGTCTGCAATAGTGACAATAGTCACAGTCAAACTAATAAGTTGGATTGAGTTTCCTCATGAAGTTTTGTAGTGTGAGAATTACATTCTAACTGTTAATATAAATAATTTTACTAATTCATACTAATATTATAAATGTGAAAGGGTGTTTGTTTGTTTGTTTGTTTGTTGTTAGGTTTGTTTGTTTGTTTGTTTGTTTGTTTGTTTGTTTATTTATTTTTTTGTCTTTCTTTCATGTCGAAACGGAGTGACGGGTTGACGTGATTTTTTGTGTGGAGATATTTGGAGAGCTGGAGAGTGACGTAGCCTACTTTACCGCGGGAGATTATCTAATGCCCACGGGAATACACGTTATAATACAATCTAAAAAATATTTATGATCAGAATTACTTGAAAGTTGGTATTAATGTTCTTTAATAAAATTAAATAAATACGTGTTTTAACATTTTTCGAAATTCATCCTATAAGGGGGTAAAATAGGGGGTAATTAAGGATGAAAGTTGGTACGAAACTACGTTTTTAGAGATTTTTTTGTAGTTTTAGCGCGTGATTTTTGTAGTTTTTATCTTTTGTGCGAGTGAAGCCGCGGGTTCTGCTAGTAATATTATAAATGCGAAAGTATATATTTTGTTAGATTGTCTTTCTTTGACGCTGCAACGATAAAATGGAACATTTGATCTCTTTCATAGAGTAGTGACATTGTTCGTGTCACTATTTTATCCCGGTACATTTTTGAATATTCCTGAAAATCTTTGTTATCTAAAAATTGGGCCAAAGTAAAAGTTTTTTTTATATTTTTTATGATTGAAATGCATCATATACTCACAGTATTTATATAGAATATAGATCATGTCAAAGATAACTATGCATAGATTCTCTACAAAACTCTTGGTTGGTGTTGAAGAGCAGAATGACAATGAAGTCGATCTGAAAATCTAAAAACTTCAAGAAAAGTTGTTGTTTTCAAAGTAGATTAGAAATATTAATAATAAGTTAGTTTATATAAAGAACAAAATATCCAGAAACTTATAAGCTCTGGATGACGGAAAATAATTTACAATATAATGAAAGCTATTTTGATTTAAAATATGAAAACTGCATGAGTTTACTATTGGCCTTTAAAATAGTTTCGGTTCATTTTATGAAACTCATTTTATACCGGAAATGTATTGCCCATATTGTACGGGGCGTTACCGGTGTAGTGAAGTTGACTATTAGTTTTAACATTGATTGATAAGGGATGCATATTAATTACCACAGGAATTCGGTGTTACCGGCAACATGTGGGCTAATTAGGCTTTGTGCCTTTTTGTGTGTGTAAGGTGTTTTTATATCACAAATTAAAAAAATAATAGGAAAGAAAATAAAATTAAGCATAAATAGTTGTTCATAAATTTTTAAGTAGAAAGATCTTGTTAAAACAAGTACCTAAGTCTTAAGCATTTTTCTCTTTGGTAACTCGATACGTTATTAGAGATACTTTTACTACCTTGATGGCTTAGTGGTTACTTAGTTGGTACTGAGGTTCCTAGTTTAGGTGCTAAGTCAAATAAAAATAGTCATTTTGTTAAAGTGTCTAGAAAATTTCAGTAGCAGTTGGGAAGTTGGTGGTGTTTTCTCCGTGCCTTGAAGAGCACGTAAAACCGGTTAAGTTCCTAATCTCAGAACGGTCAGCACCTATTTGGCGTAACGTTCTTTTTTGTTGTGTTTTTAATTATCAGGACAAGGCTTATAAGAAAGATTTTTTTTGAAAAATCCACTGGAAAAGTCAGAAAGTTTGAAAGTATTTATGTATGAAAATTTCAATGTTATAGAACGTGACGTTCAGTTTGACAGTTCTGCTGCATGTTTTCATACCAACAAAAAACATCTAGTTAAACATCGTTTTTGTTTCGTGAAATAATTCTTCTGAGAATGAAAAAAAAACATCCTATAGGTACATGAAATATATTATGTTACTATGTATAAGGTCTTTAAGACGTACCTACCCCTAGAGACCTGAGCGAAGCGAGGGTAAGTCGCTAGTATATTTATAAAAGTGTTGCAGTCACAGACAAACACGTTGCGCGCACGCACACACACACACACACACACACATTTAAACTATGTTGTAACTCTATATTTTTTCTATAATCATGTTTATGAAACATTATTTCATGTGTTAATCTGGACGTGGGCGTTAATGGCTACGAAAGAGTTTGTAACTTATGTAATCTTCATTTTACATAATTTTATATCATAAATGTTAAAACGTTCCAATTTTTTTAATTATCATTTCATTTATTTCAAATATATCTATTCTAGTCTACGGTTTACTTTTCTATTTTACTTTTATGAAACAATAAGAATTAAATTCGAACGATATAAAATCCGGATCAATGTATAATTCTTCATATCAAAGTTTATTTTTTTTTGTTCAGTGTGGTTTTTTTAAGAAAATATTTATTACAATTATGCCTAAGAACAAATAAATGCGTTGAAATTGTTGTTTCACAATATGTGTCGATAGTGAATCAATGTAGAAATCATCATTCATGATAATATGACAAAATAAGCTTAAATAACAATTTAGGTAGTGAATGGTGAGCAACGATTATGCTGTGGTAAACAGTTACGATAAAAGCAAAGCACATAAGCGTTATTGTTATCCAGTAATCCCCGGCTCGGAAGAGTTTAATATTACCTGGAAAGTGGATTTCTATAGAGTTTAATCCATCTTATAAAATGTAAAATTAATATAAAATTGTGAAGTGTTCGTTAAAATAATATTTACTGTACAGTTAAAAAGCCAAGAAGCAAAAAAAAAGTAAAATTATTAGAAAGTATAAGAAAGATTACATATATATATACAACAACTTTGATAGATATTTTACGAAAGTATATCAATTTAGAAAGAAACATTATATACTAGTTAATATCATTGTTTTAATTTTGTTTTATAATGTCACAACTGGGCATGTAACTTTAAGCATATAAAGTTATGCACGAAAAAGTACTCATATTTATTTAGAGAGTATAAAAACAATACGCTTTTTACAAGAGGTTTTTAATAAGTCATTTAATTATTATCTTCAAATAAATTTACATAAATGTGTGTTAAACATTCCCAGAAGGCCACGTTGAATAAAGCGAGCGAGAATATACGAAATTTGTTGAATTTATTCTCTTTTCTAACTAAATCATTTTTAAATATTTCATAACTATGTCAAAAACCTATTGAATATCACCAACAGGAGCTCGGTTCCTTGAAGTTCTAGATATACACCGCGTGACTAGCTTTATCAGATAGAATACGGAAGGAGAGAGGGATGGAGAAGCTACATTTATTAAAAATAATAAAAAAAACAGTTGTTATCCTTCACTTTGCCCATGTTATGTATGATACGGAAAAGAAAGCTCGCGGTACTCACTCTAGAACAGGTCACGTAGAATTCGCTCTTCCTTTTGATGAACTCCGGATATTTTTACCTGTTTGTTCTAGTTCTCTTTATTATTATTGATGACGAAGCAGAAACAAAGTTTCATATTTCTAACTTTGAATATGAGGGCTCTTCTATACACATTTTTTCTACACAATTTTTTTAACACGTTAACTTATAAAACAATTTGCAGTTTTCTTACGCAAGCTCTCTTGACAATCGCAGGTGTACGAGGTCGGATACAAAGTTTTTACTTTTGTTTTTTTTTGTAGTTATTTAAAGTTTTTAGTTTCTTTTTGTTTTTAAGCCAAATTAATAAGAAAATTGTACTTTTGGCGAAAAATTCCGAGCGATGCTCGGTCGCCCAGGTATTTAAGAATTCTAAGTGCCATTGTTTGTTTTTAGAAATAAAAATTCAATAAGAGAATCTAATAACTTCTTTAAAAGTAATAGTTTAACTATTACTTTTTCTAC